AAGATTTAAAGCAGTAATGTGTATAGGCAACTGCTTTCAGAGACAAGAGCCTTCAAGTTGGCCGGTGGTGTGATCTAAATAAATGCAATTGCATACGCCCGTGAAGCAGCGCAGCAGTAGGGGCAGGGAGACAGACAGCAGGGCCGCTGAGGTGCGGGAGCCAGTGCTGCCTCCTCTGCCACAGGCCTCGGGGCAAGCAGTGCCCAGAGCATCGTCATGTGCTGTCTCCTGTTGGAGTTGTCGAGTGCACAGTTTTTACTATGGCTGAGCTCGCTGCCCACTTGCCTTTCTTTAGACACAGATTTGAGAAAGCAAATGTTAGTTAAACTGAAGTGAGTTTAAAAAAATTTTTCTTTTAAATCCCCTAAACTGATTGATACCAATTGGGTTTAGTATCGCCTTTAAATGAGGTCTTGAATGGGTATTCTTCACCAAGTCACAGCTGTTGCTTCAAACATACTGATTCTATGTAGTTATCCCCTATCTCACCCCAAGCTTTCATATATATATATATTTAATATATATATCACATTTATGTATTATATATCTCTTATGTAACTTCCTACCCATCTTGAGTAAATATTTTTTCCCCCCCAGAACATCACCTGCTACTCTGCATTCTTGACGTGCTGCTCGCCCTTTTGTGCTAAAATGTATGTGTACGTAAGCTGCAATAGTCCTAAGAGCCTGTTGCTTTTTGTGCTTTTCTGGTGGGTGGGGGAAAGCAGTGGAGAGAAGAGCAGTAAGAAAAACCAAAGGTTTTGCCTGTTTCTAAGTTAATCTTTTAGTGTCTTACAAGAAGAAATAATTAATCGTCCTTTTTTAGGCTTATGCACAGATGAGTAACCACAGTACTAACCCAGGAGCACAACCTGTTCACCCATCTTGTCACCTCTGCCATCACATTCTGGAGCTTTTTACTTTCTCAGTTATTCTGGCTGTGGGGGCAGTAGCAGAAGGCATGTTAGTTTTCCCTAGGATAAGAAATTTCTTACTCTGCAGAATCTTTCTCAAGCCTATTAATTTCCTTTGAGAGTACATATGTAATAATAAGAGGGTTTAGAGATGTGATATTTGATACTGACTGTGGTATTCTCTTGATTGTATTTATTCAGGGTCATGTTTTCATAGAAGTTGGGAGCTAGATTTTAGGCTGAGCTTACAGTTCTTCATTTCTGTCTTTTTCATTCACACAGAGCAGGTCAGGGATGTAGATGCTCAGTTTGAGCTTGTTGGTACTTAAAAATAGGAAAACCAAATTTGAAATGGAATGTACTTTTAGGGTTTACATCTGAAAGAAAACATTATTTGCTCCATAATGGTAATTTTCATAATATTTTAATAGCTGTGTTCAGATACAACTTGACCTTAAATATCACCCCAAATGCAAGCTGTTTTAACATATTTGTAATGCTAAGGTCTTCATTACTGTAATATTCAGTTTGCTTGAGGATTATAATCCACGGATATAATGTGTTCCAGCTGAAATAAAGCTTTGATCCTGTAGTCACTGCCTCCTGGATTTTAGTGTTATATTGCCTGTACAAGTTGGATGGAAACTGGTGCCTGCTGCATCCAGGTGTGTGGACAGTGAGTACGCCAGTGATGAATACTTTACTTAGGTATGGTGTTCGTTTTCCTCAGTTTTCCTCTGACACTGATCTTAAATATGAATCTGCTGAGTGAAATTAGAATCTCAGAATTTTAGTGCTGAAAAATCCAAACGGACTGAATCCCAGATCGATTATTTGCACTCTTCCTATTGTTTCATGGTAATTATGTGCTAAATTACTTCGGATATGGAATTACTAGCAAGATATGGATAGAGGTACTTAAACCCTTGCAAAGGAAACGGTAAAAAAACCCAGTTCTTTAGTGCATCCTCCTGCTGTGTGAAGTCTTTGCCGTAAATAGGGTGATTTAATTTGGGAATTTTGTTACTCCTTTTAAACACATCTGGAAAATGCCCCAAACTGTACCTGCCGTGTGCCTGGTCTGCCAGTTGTATCTTCTGCGTTCGAGTTGCCCCGCATACGTTTGCTGTGAACGCATACGGAGGGGATGCGTGCTCGCTTCGTCCCCGAAGTTTTATCGCTGGCGGCGATAATCTTAAAAAGAAACGTGTGGTGTTCGTTCTCCTTACTCGCAGTCGTATCACCTACCCGAAAGCCCTAATAGGCAACAAAACCGTGTGAGACGGTGTTTACATCACACTTTTGCAAAGTTCAAGCAGAGCCAGCTGCCGTAAAATTATTTGACAAATATATCGCGGATTAATAAAAGGAGAATTTTGCCGTCCTTTAAGTAAAGTACAGTCTCCTTGGCTAATTACATAGCGTGAAGCCGCGGTAAATTAGTACCTGCCTCACAGCGGGGCTGGGAAACGTTGTTTTGCTTTCCGGGCTTGCGTTTCTTTACCCTCTTAGTTTGCGTGCGTTGCCGCGCTCGGTGCGGGCGGCCGGCCGGAGGATCCTCTCCCCGCC